AGAATCCGCCCCAAACATGAAATCTGATGGTGTTTGCCTCTTTGGGGCCTTTTGGGGGTCCTCTTGGAGGCCTCTTCGGGCGCCTTGGGGACGTCTTGGGCCGTGACGCAACCATCAGGAGCCCTCGGGGAGCCCTCCTGAAGCGTATTCAGGTCCTCTTGGGTCTCTCTGAAGCCGTCTTGGGCGCATATTTGGCCGTTTTGGAGGCCATTTGGGCAGACTTAAAGCCTCCAGGTCCGAAAAAGCTGCCAACATGACACCCGGAAGGCGTGTTAGAAATCGCGCCCCACCATGCCCCACCCCATTGGACCCCCCATTGGGGTCGGAACCTTTGCAAAACTTATGTTTTCCCCCAGCGTTCATTCCGTCTTGCTCTTCGGTTGTCTGCAAACGTATGTTATTCCCAACCATCCTGTGGTGTTGGGTCCTCGTTTTGAAGAGACAGCGCCCCGCGTCTCACTCCTCACTCCTCCTCCTCCTCCTCCTCATCCTCCTCTTCCTCCTCTTCCCCTCCTCTCTCTTTCGTCTTTTTCCTACTCAACATCAACATCATCATAGCATTCATGCAATATTGTCGTTATCCTCCTCGCCATTATCGTCACTATCATCGACATATATTTCGGTACACCCCTCACACGTTTCGTGGCCCCATACGGAGCTCAACGTAAGGCTCGTTCACATGGCACCGTTCGCATGTGGGCGTCACGCCCGTTTCGGCGCATCCCTGACACGGTTCCTGGCCCCATGGGAATATTATCAAAGGCCCCGGTGGCACCGTTCGCATGTTTGCCTCACCCCCGTTTCGGCATACCCCTCTCACGTTTCGTTGCCCCATAGGGAACCCCACGTAACACTCAAACGGCACGCATGTGGGCGTCACGCCCGTTTCGGCACACCCCTCGTACGTTTCGTGGCCCAAGGCCACACTGGCGATCGCATGTGGGCGTCACCCCCGTGTCGACACACCCCTCACACGCTTCGTGGCCAAATGGGGAACTCCAGCGAAGGCCCCAATGGCACCGTTCGCATGTGGGCGCCACGCCCGTTTCGGCACACCCCTCACGCGCTTCGTGGCCCCATAGAAAGGGGGCCCACCCAAGGCTCAGGGGCAGCGCTCACATGTGGGCGTCACCCTCTCTTGGGCCCACCCCTCACACGCTTCGTGGCCCCTAGGGAGCTCCACCGACAACGGTTCTCACAACTGCACTACTCACAACTGCGTATGGTTGGGTCATTCGCCTGGGCAATATTTAGGGCCAGCCCCCGCCCTCCCCCTCGCTGTCCCCCCAGGATTTGCTCTCTGGCACTGCGTTCAACTTGCAGACAGGCGGCCAACATGGCCCCCAAAACGGTTCCCAAAACAGCCAAGATGGCACCACGACTACCTAGGTGAGATGGCCCATAGCGGCTCAAGAGGTTCGCAAGACGGTTCAACAGGCCCCCAAAAATTCCAGGATGGCCCAGGAAGGCTCCAAGAGGCCCACCAGGAGAGCCCGGGGAAGCAAAAACCAATGATGGTCGTCAGGCTATTTGAAGATTTTGAAGGTCTCGCCTGTTTGGGTTCGCGACTGCCCAGGATGACCCAGGATGCCCCCCGACACAGCTCGAACGCAGGCCCTCAACAGGTTCCCAAACGGCCCCAAGAGAACGCCAAAACAACCCCAAAAGGACACCCAATACGCAACAATAAGGCCCCCAGACGTCCCAAGACACCCCAAGCGACCCCGGAAGACAGTCCAAGCGCCTCCGAAAGGCATCCAAGAAGCCTCTGGCCCACGGAGGCCCCCGAGCTCTCCACGTGATGCCGCGCTCCCCGGTAAGGAGACAGCTCCCTAGGGCGTCGTTTTTCTGGATGGGCTGGTGGGGCTACTTCCTTGTTCGCGAGCGTCACGGCCCGACCACGCGCCGAAAGTAACAAGGAAACCGAGCCAGGCACTAAAATAACCGCGAGCAGCAGGAGCGAGCTACGCTGCAGCTCAGGGAGCGAGAAGGACGCTGAAGCACAGGATGAAATTGCTGAAAGACAAGTCGAACACGCCGAATCCGTGGAAAACCAGGAAGAACTGGTCCGTGTGCAGCGCAAAAATAGCGGAGCAATTAAAGCCCAAGCCCTCAACAACCACGGCAAAGCCCACGAGGAAGACGAATACCACAACCGCGAAGTCGACGAAGGCGGACGTGCAGGCGCTCGACGGTAGAACCGGATCGCCAGTGGAGGGGTAAATGCTGGTGGGTCCATATGCAGTTGTGAGTGTCGCAGTTGTGAGTACTGTCTTCGGTGGACCCCCCATGGAACCACGAAACGTTTGAAAGGTGTATCGAAACGGGCGTGACGCCCTCATGTGGACGGCGCATCTGGGGCTTTACGTGGAGCCCCTACGGGGCCACGAAAAGTGCGAGGAATATGTCGGAACGGGCGTGGCGCCTACATGTGCTGTGCCGAAACGGGTGTGACGCCCACATGTGGACGGTCTCTCTAGGGCCTTCGGTGGAGATCCTTATGATGCCACGGAACATGTGAGGTGTGCGCCGAAGCGGGCGTGACGCCCGCATGTGGACGGAGCCACTGGGGCCGTAGGTGGAGCTCCCTTCGGGTGCCACGAAACGTGTGAGGGAAGTGCCGGAACGGGCGTGACACCCACATGTGGACAGTGCTTCTGGGCTGGTGGAATCCCGATGGTGCCACGAAGCGTGTGAGGAATATGTCGGAACGGGCGTGACGCGTACATGTGCCGGAACAGGTGTGACGCTCACTATGCGGACAGTGCCCCTGGGGCCTTCGGAGGATCTCCTCATGGGGCCGCGAAACGTATTAAGTGTACGCCGAAGCGGGCGTGACGCCAACATGTGGACGGTGCTTGTTGGGCCTTCGGTGGAGCTCCTTGTGGGGCCACACAGCATCTGAGGTGTGTGTGTGTGTGCGTCAAAATGGGAATGAGGGGAGACTGCTACGCTCAGAACAAAAGGTCCACGCTCCGACTGTACAGCTAAAGAGGGCTCCAATCAAAAGAGGACCTTCCCCTCAAGTTCATCCTTCCTGGCGTCCGAGACCGCCCAAAAAGCCCGAAAACCGCTCCCCAAATGCAAGGGGCAGAAGCAGGGATGGGAAGAACGCGGACCGCTGTCTCTTCAAAATGAGGCCCCCAACACCACAAGACGGTTGGGAATTAGTCTGGCGAAAGACCCAACCAAATGCAGTTGTGGGTGCCGCGATTTAGAGCATCGTCTTCGGTGGAGCTCCCTGTGGAGCCACGAAGCGTGTGAGGGGTGTGCCAAAATGGGGGGGCCACGAAGCGTGTGAAGAGTGTGCCCGAATGAGGACGGAAACGCATGCGCACTTTGCCACTGGGGCCTTCGGTGGAACTCCCTGCGGGGCCACGAACCGTGTGAAGGGTGTGCCGAAACGGGGATGGAACCGCATGCGAACTTTGCCACTGGAGCCTTCGGTGGAGCTCCCTACGGGGTAACGAACCGTGTGAAGGGTGTGCCAAAATAAGGGTGGAACCGCATGCGAACTATGCCACTGAGGCCTTCGTTGGAACTCCACATGGGGCCACGAAACGCGAAAGGTGTGAGGTGTGTGCCGCAATGTGGGTGGAACCGCATGCAATATTTGCCAATGGGGCCTTCGATGAAGCTCCCTATGGGGCCACGGAACAAGTGAGGGGTATGCAGAAATGGGGGTGGAACCGCACGCGAACTTTGCCACTAGGGCCTTCGGTGGAGTTCCTTCCTTTGGGGCCCCTCACATGGGGGTTGAACCGCATGCGAATTTTGCCAATGGGGCCTTCGGTGGAGCGCCCTATGGGGTCACGAAACGTGTGAGGGGGGTGCCCAAATTGGGGTGGAACCGCATGCGAACGTTGCCACTGGAACCTTCGGTGGAGCTCCTGTGGGGCCACGAACCGTGTTACGTGTATGCCAAAAATGTGGGTGGAACCGCATGCGAACTTTGGCACTAAGGCCGTCGGTGGAGATCCTTCCTTTGGGGCCACGAACCGTGTGAGGGGTGTGCCAAAATGGAGACGGAGCCGCATGCGAACTTTACCAATGGGGCCTTCTGTGGCACTCCCTATGGGGCCACGAAGCGTATGAGGGGTGTGCCTAAATAGGGGTGGAACCGCATGCGAACTCTGCCACGAAAGCCTTCGGTGGAGCTCCCTGCGGGGCCACGGAACAAGTGAGGGGTGTGCCGACATGGGTGTGGAACCGCATGCGAACTTTGCCACTGGAGCCTTCGGTTGAGCTCCCTATGGGGCCACGAAGCGTGTGAAAGGTGTGCCTAAATGGGGGTGCAACCGCATGCGAAACCTGCCACTGAGGCCTTCGGTGGAGCTCCTTATGGGGCCACGAAACGCGTGAGGGGGGTGCCAAAATGTGGTTAGGAACCGCATGCGAGCGGTGCCACTGGGGCCTTCGGTGGAGCTCCCTATGGGGCCACGAAGCGTGCGTGTGTGCCGAAATGGTTTACATGTGGAGGACAGAGGCAGGGGTCGGAGGAGGAGGGGGAGGAGAGGAGAGGAGAAGAGAGGGACGCGGGGCAGTCTCTTCACAACGAGGACCCAACACCACAGGATGGCTGGCAGAAAACCACATGTGAGCAAACATTGCCGAGAATGCCACATCAGAAAGTCCGATACGAAAGCAATCCACGGAGAGGGCGGGACACGTCGAGGACATCCTTTGGAAGAGAGGGGAGTAGTATTCATAATGTTGAAGATCTTCGTTCTGTAGACCGTATGAGCCTTGTCTGTGCTTGCATTCTTGCTACCGTTGGGCCAAGATAGCGGGTTCAAGTGTGACCGATCCGCGGGCGCTCTGGCCCAAGCCCTTTTGTCACAGAAACACGTCATTGCAACGGCGCGCCGTTTGTGATCCGCGGGAGCCCCCGCGAGGGGCGGGGCGACCAGCACGCGCCAGGCAACCCCAGCAGGCTTGCGGCGAGGTGTGACGAGGCAGCACCAAGTGGCTTAGATGAGCTCGCGGTGCAGCAGAGAGCGATGGTCGTGAACGATGAGGACATCCTGCGGCTAGCGAAGCCCCCGAGCGTCTCAGGCAGGGGGCACTGGGCGGAATGGTCGTTCGTGCTGCGCTCGTGCATGATGGTCCAGGCAGATGACGTGGCGACCTTGATAGAGGCGGCGGAGGCAACGGCGGAGCCCGACCTATCGATGACGACGATCGAACGCGCCCTCGGAGCACGAGGGAACCTGACGGCCAAGAAGATATTCCACATGCTGGTCATGACGGTGAAGGGACCAGGGCTGGGAATACTGAGGGGGAACTCGCAGCAGGACGGAGCCTTAGCATGGCGGGCCTCAATGAAGCGCCACGAGCCTAACACAGCGCCACGTATCCAGAGCTTGATGTCCAATGTGTTGAGTTAACCCCAGTTCCCGTGAGATACGAGACGAAACTAGCGGACTGGGAGGAGACGATCCGCACGTGGGAGGTCATCTCAGGGGAAACACCTTCAACGAATACATGAAGAAAGCACTGCACGTGGACAAGGCACCAGCGACGGTGAAGATGTCCTTGCTGGTCCAGAACCTCGATGACTTTGCCACGGTGAAGAGCGCCACGCTACAATTCCTTCAGAGCACTCATAACGCGGCTGGAGCACCGATCCCACAGAATCGGAGACGGACAAGCGGAGGCCAGCAGCGAGACCCGAGCGCGATGGAGGTGGACGCCGTGACCCGCAAAGGCAAGGACAGGAAGGGCAAGGACACGGGTCTCAAGGGCGGCCAAGGCAAGGCCAAGGGCAAGGCAGACGACACCATCAACTTGCGCGCGGCCTGGATTCGGGACGCGGAGTGCTGGATATGCAGTAAGAAGGGCAACCTGCAGGAGGATTGCTGGTAGAACCCGAGAGGGAAGAGCAAGGATAGAAAGGGTAAGGGCCGTGGTGCAGGGCCTACGCAAGTCAATGAGCTGCTGGGCCAAGATGACAACGCGATATCCTCAGGCACGGCCTCGACGATCGGTCCATCGGCGAGCCAGGTGACGGGGCCAGGGTGACGGCAGCTCACCTACGCGATTTACGAGGAGTACGAGGCCAGCTACATCTTCGCGGTGACGGAGTGGGCTGGCACGACCAACTACGTGGCGAAGATCACGGAGCAGGTGGGCACGTGGTCCCCGCTCGAAGTGTTGGTCGAAAACTGCGCCGACGAGCACGTCTGAAGCCCGGACGGCTTCTGGTGGATAGGAACGCGGACGAGCAAGGACCCCAACCTCGAGGCGGCGAATGGACATCACATCAAGCACTACGGTGACAGAACGGTCAAGATGAAGCTGAAGGACGGCCGCAGCGTCGTGATAACAGTCCAGGTGTGCGATGTGAAGGGCCCGATCCTCTCCGCTGGCAAGTTCTGCGCGACGAACGTAGCCAGAGGAGCCCACTTCGACCTGTACGGCGGGGTGCTAACGCACGAGCTGGCGGGCGAGGTGAAGGTGGACCGCGTCAAGAACCACTACTCGCTGAAGTGCTGGGTGGAGGAGGGCAGCAAGATGACGACGACGTCGGAGCGAGTATGATGGCGCCGACCTTGGAGGGTGGCAGCTCGAGCTCAGCTGGACCAGCCCATCCCAGGGAGGACGCAGTGGCCCCAGCTCGAGCCGACCACCCCAGCTAGCACACGAAGTGGTCCCAACTCGAGCTGACCAAGAAAGGTTGAGGGACTTGCAGCAACAGGTCCAGGCACCAGAGGCCGGGGTGCAGCGCGTCGAGGCGGAGGTCGTACCAGTTAGGACCCTGGCTGGCCCCAAGCTGCCGAGTAAGGAGGAGATCGAGATGCACAACTTGCTGCACGACCCCCCGATGCCGTGGTGTGACATCTGCGTGCAGGCCAAGGGTATCGACGCCTGCCACCCAGAGCGGCACCAAGCAGCCAATGCTAGTCATCCAGTTCGACTACGCGTAGGCGGGTAACGTGCCCAGGATCGGCGAGGAGGAGGTTCCGAACTTTGACTGTGCAATGCAGGTCGATATGGCTTCGGGCTTCCCATGGGCATCGGCGGTGCTGACCCATGGCAAGGGAGACGTGTACTCGATAGCGTCGTTTACGTCGTACCTCTCGGAGAGAGCTCGGCTACAACATGGTCATATTGCAGTCGGCTGGCGAGCCAGCGGCGACAGCCTTCATCAACCAGGTGAAGACCAGGATCGCTGGGATGGAGACGCCGCCATGCGAGGTCATCGTGCAGACCTCGAAGCGCAACAGCCACCACAGCAACGGAGGTGCTGAGAGCATGGTGGCCACGATCCGCAACCAGGTGAAGGCCTACAAGATTCAGATCGAGAAGCTCTCAAGCCTCAGGATCAGACCAAATTCGAAGCTGCTTGCGTGGTTGCCGGCTCGGCAGTACGCGCGCTTCCACAAGAGTGCGAACTCGGGCATGGCGCCCTGCGAGGAAATCAGGATGGTGCCCTATATCAACACGGTCCTGATGCCAGGCGAGGCAGCGGCTTGCCGCCGCCCATGGGGCTCTCTTGAACAAGCTGGAGATGTCCTGGATGGAGGGAGTCTGGTTGGGACGCGACTCCAAGACAGACGAGCACCTGATCGGCACGCCGAACGGTTTGGTGCGCAGCCGAGCGCTGAAGCGCCGAGTGGAGGACAAGCGCTGGGATACTGCGCTGCTGGAGCCCATGAAGTGGGATCCCTGGTTCGCGACATCGACGATAAGGGGCAGGCCGCCAGAGGTAAGGAGCGACCCGGAGCCGATCATCATCGGCCCGATCCCCCTGCGGCCCGTGGCAGGAGTGGCGCCAGGAAGGGCGCCCCCAGGGGGTGGCGGCGGCAGAGCCTGCACCAGGGGCTGCAGCAGGCGCAGCGGCCCCGCGACACCCGCAGCAGGCGCTGCGAGCGCAGCTGCCCAGCCAGCGCCACAACCAGCAGCAGCGCCAGCAGCCCCAATGCCGATGGACGTGGTCGGCGCAGGCTCGAAGCTGCACGAGAGGGCGAAGAGGGCACGCGGGGCTGCGCCAGGGGCAGCGGCCCTGGCGGCACCCGCGCCAGCAGCAGTGGCAGCAGCGGCAGCAGCCGCAAGTGCAGCCCCACCAGCGCCCGCAGCAGGCGCTGACGAGGTGGAGATGATGATGGAGCTCTGAAGGCACGCGACCACGAGGGGTTTCGATCAGACCCTGCAGGGCAACGAGGTCTCTTACTCGGCGACGACCGCCAATTCGCACTTAAAGATGATGTTTGTGGACGCGGCGAGGAAGGGGCACGTGGCCGCGATCGGTGAGTGCAGCGGGGCCTTCTACCAAGCGCCTTTGGACGCCGAGGGCACAGGCGAGAAGGTCTACATCGAGCCTCCGCCGGAGGCGGGGCTACCACCTGATATGGTGTGGGAGGCGGTCTCGGTCTTCCCAGGGCTGAAAGGCAGTCCCAAGGCGTGGGACGCCCACTCCAGCAAGTTGCGGACCGAGGACATGCAGATGAAGCAGTCTCACTACGACGGCTGCATCTTCTTCAAGATCGAGGGCGACTTCGACCAGAAGGCGGGGAGGCACATCGACGACTTCCTCATCACGGGGCCCATGGAGCAGGTGAATTCGTTCCTCGAGGAGGCGAAGGCGAAGCTGAACATGCAGGACGCGGTGGAGCTCGTGGAGGATGGCGACGAAGGCCGCCTGTTGGCTCTCAACATCAGGAAGGTGACCGACGGGTTCACGCTGCAAGGCAACCCGCTCCTGATCACCGACATGGCCAAGCTGTCGGGCATGGAGAACGAAAAGACCTCGGAGGTGCCAGAGACCAGCAACGCCAAGAAGCAGCAAGACGACGAGGAGGAGCTCAGCGCCCACGACGCCGTGCTCTACAGGTCGTGCGTGGGCAAGGCGATGTACCCCAGCCACCAGAGGCCTGACATCCAGCACGTGGTCAACAAGCTGAGCACGCAGATGAAGACGCCCCCGATGAAGGGCTGGCGGATGCTCAAGAAGCTGGTCCGCTACCTCCTGGGCATACGCGAGGTCCACCAGCTACTGGTGCCACGCGGTGGTGCTGACTCCCTGAAGGCGTACACGGACAGCGACTGGGCTGACGACCCGTACACGAGGAAGAACATCTCAGGCGGCGTTGTTATGGTGTACGGCTGCTCGGTGCTCACGTGAGCGAGGGCCCAGAAGACACCCGCGTTGTCGAGCGCGGAGGCCGAGCTCTACGCCATCGGCTCGGGTGCGATCGAGACGCTGGGCGCCGAGACCCTGATGAGGGAGTGGGGCTACGGAGACGGAGTGCTCGCGCTCATGACGGATTCGTCCTTTGCGCTGGCGGTGGCCAAGAAGCGCGGGCCAGGGAGGATGAAGCACGTGGAACTGAAGATGCTGGCGGTCCAGGACTGGATCAAGCAAAAGAGGCTTCGCATCGCCAATGTGGCGATCGATGCCACTCCGGCCGATCTCCTCACCGAGGCACTGGCGAAGCAGAACCTGCTGAAGCACGGCTGGGAGCTGGGCCTGCGAGGTGGACCGTTCGGCACGCTCTCCTGGAGGGAGGCAGCGACGGGCAGGCCGTGAGAGGGAGGGCCTGAGCTGCTTGGCTAGACGCCCGTGCGCGCCTGTCTGCGCGTGCAGGCGCCCGACGGCTCGAACGAGAGCCGATCCTCAGTCACGCCCGCAGGCTGGCGAGCGCAGCGATCGAGAAGGGAGCGTTGAGGATCTTCGTTGACTGCATACTATACAAGCCTTGTCCGTGCTCGCAGTCTTGACCGTTGAGCTAGGATAGCGGGTTCAAGTGTGGCCGATCCGCGGGCGTTCTGGCCCAAGCCCTCTTGCCACAAGAAAAGCATCGCATATCAAGCTTGCTGACATCCTACCCTTCCCACACATCCCTTCCCATTGCGCTGGTTTTTGGTATTTGTTTATCCGCCGACGGGTGTCACAGCGGACCTGGACCCCCCCAAAGGAATGTTAATGTTAAGAAGTTGGTGTCACTCGTAAACTAGCCTGGCGAAGGACCCAAACATATGCAGTTGCGGGTACTGTCGTTATGAGTATTGCCTTCGGTGGGTCTCTTTCTGTGGCCACGAAGCGCGTGAAGGGTGTGCCGAAGTGGGGCGGGGCCGCCATGCGGGCGCTGCCAACGGGGCCGTAATCCGAATGGGACCACGAAATATGCTAGGGGTGTGTGTGTGTGTGTGCCGACATACTGAAACCTTCGGTGGAATTCCCTGTGGGTGTGAAAAATGTGACGACATGGGTGGCTGGGACGCATCCGGGCTGCACCACTGAGGCCTTCGGTGGAGCCCTGTATGGGGGTACGAAGCGTGTGATGGGTGTGCCGAAATGGGCGGCTGGGACGCATCCGGGCTGCGCCACTGAGGCCTTCAGTGGAGCCCTGTATGGGGGCACGAAGCGTGTGATGGGTGTGCCGAAATTGGTGGCTGGGGCGCATGCGGGCTGCACAGCTGGGGCCTGCGGTGGAGCTCCCTATGGGGCCGCGAAGCGTGTGACGATGTGCGGAATGTGTAGCTGGGACGGATGCGGGCTGCGCCATTGAGGCATTCGGTGGATCTCCCTATGGGGCCACGAAACGTGTGAGGGGTGTGCCGACGTGGGTGGCTGGGACGCGTGCGGGCTGCGTCACTGGGGTCGGTGCAGCTACCTTGGGGGCCACGAAGCGTTGAAGGGTGTGCTGGAATTCCTTAGCTGGGCCGCATGCGGGCTGGGCCACGAAACGTGAGAAGGGTGTGCCGAAATGGGTGGCGGGGACGCATGCGGGCTGCGCCATTGTGGCCTTCGGTGGAGCGCCATACGGGGCCACGAAACGTGAGGGGTGTGCCGACATGGTATGCTGATGCGGACAGCAGGTGCGCGGACGGGGAGCGGGGGAAGAGGAGGAGAGGAACAGAGAGGAGAGGACGTGTGAGGGGTCAGCCGACATGGTCGGCTGATGCGGAGAGCAGGCGCACGTAGAGGAGGAGGGAGGAGGGGGAGGAAGAGGATGAGGTGGACGAGGAGAGGACAACAGGAGAAAAGGGACGCGGGGCGTTGTAATTTCAAATCGAAGACCCAACACCACGGGATCCACCACCAATGAACAAAACATCCAGAAGGACTCGTGCGCAGAAGAGCCCGCGATTGGCAGCTCTTCTTGAAAACCAACGAGTGCGTTGCAGAGGTATTGCGTGCACATAAAGATTCGACTGTGAACCAAGAGATTGAAATGCAACTGGAAAAGGAGGGGGAAAAACGGCAACGGAGGAGACGAGGACAGGAGAGGGGAACCATCAAGTGTGCGGCTTCAGTTTGTGTACTTGGGAAGCCGAGTGCTGCCTGGGCTAGCCGCCTCGCCAATGGTCCACCCAATGTTTGGGGGCACCGTCCAGATTGCATAAACATTGAAGCACCAAGGATCAAAGTCCACTGGAGGCGACTCGGGAACATACCGTCTGTTCTCCTCTGGGTAGAAGCTGAGATAGCGGGTGGGCGCCAACTCGTTCCACGACTTCCGACTGGCATACTCGCGAAAATAAAAATATGGAATGCCCAGAATGCGGCGCAGGCAGCGGCAATGGAACGCGTCGGACCTCGATTGGTCGGCCTTCAACAACACATGGACCCGATCGAATACATAATCTCATCTAAACCACACTGTCATACACATTGAATGTGCGTTTCAATGCACTAGCGGCGTGCGGCCATTGCTTGGTCGGAAAATGCCACGCGCTTCCCCCGATCGCCGGTTGATAGTTTCGACCGTGGCCACAGTGCCCAAGGGAAGCGCAAACCGTCCTAAAGCGTCGCGCATACTTGCTGCTTTGAATACGTCGAAAGCCTTAGCCTAACTCAGAATTAACAAAATAAGACCACTGTTCTCGTTGCTGTAGGCCGCGCCAATCACGCGCCGGACGAGCACGAGGGCGTCGGCCGCCCCGAGCCCAGGGCGAAACCCAAATTGCGACCCCCGCATTCGGGACTCAGCGCCGCCGTGAATCAGACGTTGGTGGGTCATGGAGGTCAGAAACTTATGCCCAATTTGAAGTAATGATATTGGTCTGTACTTCCCTGGCAATTTGATGCTTCTTTGTTTCAGTAAAAGGACCACGTTCGCGCGTCTCCAAGATTCGGGCATGAATCGATGCTCTCTACATGTCTGGCAAAAGCGGGAAACCATTGAAGAAGCATCCTGGTCGGGTCCATTTAGTTGTCCAAAGATCTGGCAGCATCCCATCCGGCCCCGGTTGCGCATTCGTAATTCGTGTCTGACATGCAGCTCGAGTTACCGAGCAACAGACGGAGCGCAGACGCCTTGAAATAGTAGCGTTCATAGATCGCGAGCCGCTGGAAGGTATCCCGAGGCTGGAAAACCGCCGAGAACCAAGCAAACGTAGTAACGTCAGGCAGAAAAACTCAAACCTCGAAGCCCTCAAGCAGAACGTACCCTCGAAGCCCTCGAGCCTAGCGCTGCCCCTAGCATCCCCCCCAACGTTGTCCCTGATCCCTCCGCCCGCAGGCAGCATCTCGCCGCGGCAGTGGGCGGGGTGGCCAGGCAGAGGCGGCTTCTTTTTCCGGCGGCGCGGCCTCGACTACAGCGGCCCTACTGATGCGGCTGCCGAGCAAAATGCCCACGAGCACCGGGCTCCCGGATACGGACGCATCCCTCCTGCTTTTCCTCCTCTTGCTCCTCCTGGTCCGGGTCCTGGTCCTGGTCCTGGTCCTGCTCCTGCTCCTCCTCCACCTCCTCCTCCTGCTCCTCCTTCTCCTTCTCCTCCTCGTCCTCGTCCTCCTCCTCCTCGCCCTCGCCCTCGCCCTCGTCCTCCCCCTCCTCCTCCTCATCCTCGGGTCGGGCGAGAGGTGGGGGGGTTGCAAATGGGAAGCTAGGGTACGAATCCGCTCACGTAATTAGCTGGCTTTCCCTTCACAGCTCTCCTCCTCCGTCTCCTCCCCTCGGGTCAGACGCAAGGGGAGGAGGGACGAGAGAGAGGGAGAGACACGCACACAGACACAGTGAGAGAGAGAGAGAGAGAAAAAAAAAAAAAAAGAGAGAGAGAGAGAGAGAGAGAGAAATAGAGAGAGAGAACAGAAAACGAGAGAGAGAGAGAGAAAGAGAGACAGAGAGCAAACACCTGAAGAAAGAAACTAACAGAAAATGGCGAGGAGGAGGAAATGAAGAACACCACCGTCGTAAGTGAATGCTGGTAAGAATGGGTACTGGGGGGCTGTCCACATATATATATATATATGTGTGTGTATATATATACATATATATATCTATATATATATATATACTAGAACCATCGCGCGCGCTTCGCGCGCGCTTTGGTTCTAGCCGAGGTCAAGGACAACAGAGAGCGAAGGGGGGAGAGAGAGAGATGGAGATATACATATATATATATATATAGAGATATAATATATATATATATATATATATATATATATATATATATATATATATAAGACAGAGAGAGAGGCAGAGAGAGGAAATGGAGAGGAGGCGAGCTTGAGTCAACGAAAGTCGCAGCGAAGGGGGCAGGGGGAAGATGGCCAGAGAGCGCTGAAGGATACAAATACTGGAACCCTCTTGGGATTTTTGGGGGGGCCTCGTCCGGCCGCTCGCTGGGAGTTTGACGTAGCTTCTGGGGAACCTCTGAACCTGTCGGGGGCCTCCTGAAGCAGGTTCGAAGCATTTTGGGGGCAGATTTGGGGCTTCTCGGGGCCTCCTTTGGGCCTCTTGGGGGTCTCCTGGGGCCTCTTGAGGGGCCTCCTTGGGGCCTCCTGGCGGCCTCTTGGGGCGAAAGGCTCGAGCTTGCGGTTCGTGGTCCCCCTCTGGGTCCCCTCTTGGGCCCGTCTTGGGGCCCTCTTGGGCCATCTTGGGCGCCTTTTGGGCCGTCTTGGGGCCCTCTTGGGCTGTCCTGGGGCCCTCTTCGAAGCTTCTTGGGCCGTCTTGGGGCGGTCTTGGGCGCCTCTTGGGCCGTCCTGTAACGTCGGAAAGCCCAAAAGGCAACTTTGTGAAACATGTACGTTTTACGAAGGGAACGTGCCAATTTGTGCATCTAGGGGCCCTCTTGGAACGCATGTTGGAGGCTTCTCGGGGCGTCTTGGGGGCGTCCTTGGACGTCTGGAGGCCATCTTCAGCATCTTGGAGCCCTCTTGGAGGCCTCTTGAAAGTTTCTTGGGCCGTCTTGGGCGCTTCTTGGGCCGTCTTGTCTGACCGGGGAGGCCTCTGGCAAGCCCCGACGAGCCTCCCGGGCCCCTGGAACCCACATTTGTGGTCGGGGCGCCGGCCCCGGGCCCCCGGACCCGGTCCCCCGTTATATGTGTGTGTGTATATATATATATATATATATATATATATATATATATATATATCGGCGACATTCCCCCGATAGCGAAACCGCATGTTCCTGGGCGGGGCGGGCTATCAGCCTTATCGACGATGCATGGGCGATTGGGTGTCGATGCGTCCCCCCCTGACCTGCTCACCTCCTAACATTGCCTCTGACTCTCCCCCCCTCGTTGGACGCCCGAGTTATCCAGGATAACTCCAGTCCAAGGTAACTATGGCTTGGGCCCCC